GAGGGAGGGGCACGTCTCTGAGAGAGCAGAGTGTGGGTGAGGACAGGGTTGGTTGTGGGCAGGGTGGACAGGGCAGGGAGGATGGAGAGCGGCCTAGAGGGTCGGGAACAGGGTGAGGGTTTGGGGTGGCAGGAGAAAGGGTGCCCCTGGCCAAGGGGGTGGATGAGGCTTGGCTGGACGGGGGTGCCTAGGCCTCTGCATCTTCATGCAGGCAGTTCCTTTCTCATCTTCATCAGAATTCATTTGTTAAACCCCAATTTGACACCGTGCCAGGTGCTATATAAACAGACATGGTCCTTGCCCTTAAGGAATTTCCAGCCTAAGACACACACACACCGACATTTTGTTTGTCTTATTTTAAATATTAATGTATTCCCCACCTTGTCCCAGAGGGTGAGACAGCCCACAGGAAACGCACCCCGTGAGTCAGGTACGAAGAAGCACAGCGTGGGGACCTCAGGAAACGTGGGGGGAGTGGTCAGAAGGCGGGCGGCTCGGCGGAGCTGGACCTGGGCCTCCAGCCTCTCGGTGGCCGGGTGAAGGGGCTGCCGGGCACTTACCCAGCTCATCTGCTGGACGCGGGAGTCATTGCTTCTCTGTGCCTGTCCCTCCCGACCCTGTCCCGTCACCCCAGATAGGGACAGAGAGACCAGAGACCACCTTGTGCTGACATCGAGGCTAGGAGAGGCTGGTCTGGCCCCAGCTCCTCGCCATCCTGGGGTGCCGTCGTTCAAAGCAGCGAGCAAACCATCGCAGAACCATTCATATGCACAGGGGTCAGGAGCAGACAATGCCAAGGTCAGACTGAGGTCTGAGAAGTAACCTCTGTACAGAAACGGACCATTTCCGGGAGGATTTGTTGAGGGGCCACATCCCGCAGGCGTTAGAACTCCAGCTCGGACCTTCAGAGCAAAGATGGGGCGAAGGCTGAGATTAGGAGAGTCCCAGAAGTTCCCCAAGGGCCTGCAGGCAGCCAGACTTGTGGAAGGGCTGAGTTCAGGGGTGGGAGGACCAGGAGGAGGAGAGACAGAAGACAAACAGGCAGGCAGAACCAGGAGCACTGGGGCGCCACGCCTGAGGGAGGACAAACTTGAGGCTCACATTTTCCACCCTCGATGGGGCCCAGGGGATGCCAGGCTGCCTGTGCCCTCCTCGGGAGCTCCACTCTCCTGGAGCAGAGCGGGGAAGAGGGCTGTAGACGCAGTATGACAGAGAACAGCTGGGAGCAGGGCTCAAGCAGGCTGTCTGCGGGAGGTGGCGCTGGCGACAGTGGCTTCTCCTCTTCCCACTCCTCATGAACTTACAGTTTCTCCACAGCCGGCCCAGGCCCATCCTTTGGGGAGTCTGCCTCCACCCTGCCCCACTCCCATCTCAGAAAATGGCTTCTGATGACCCAAAGCTCCTGATCCTAGAGATTGGCTCAGAGATGGGCCATGGCCCAGGGTAGGCTGCTCAGAGGAACGCTCCAAGGAGCAGCTATTGTCTGTGCTAGATCTGTGAGCTGGCCACGGAGAGGGATGCTGCTGAGCCATTTTGGCTCCAGGAGGCTACCCCTGCCTCCTCCGCCTGGAAGATGGAGCCAGGGAGATGGAACCTGGGAGATGGAGCCAGGGAGATGGAGCCTGGGAGATGGAGCCAGGGAGATGGAGCCACCTCACCTGCCCTGAGCACAGGTCATCTAGTTATTGAAGCCAGTCGATGCCCTTTCCCGCTAAAGGGCGTCTGAGCTGAGATGTGCGATTTGCAGCATCCAGGCAGGAGGAGCCTTGTGCAAAGGCCTAGACTCGAGGAGGACTCACACGTCTGAGGGCAGAGCCTGAGCCTGAGCCCAGAGGAGGGGCAGGTGCGTGGGTGAGGCAGCGAGGCTAGGCACTAATGCCAACCTGCCCCACGTCCTCCTGTGCCAGGCATTGTTCTCAGATGCTGACGTGCATCACCTCACCGAATCCTCCAGGACGCCGTGAGGTAAGCAGTGTTATTAGCCCGTTTTATAGGGAAGCAGATGGAGCGCAGGAGCTAAGTAACTGGGCCCCGGTCAGGCACAGGGACAGCTAGCACTCGCTCCCGGGCAGTCGGCTCCAGGGCCTGCTGCCAAGGCCACAACGATGGCCTTACCCAGGTTGCCAGTCATATGGCCAACAGGGCCAAAGGTCACAGAGGGAAGGAGGAGGAAGGTTGAGAAGGCCCTGGCCTTGAGGATTGAGGGTCCTCCAGGTGCTCTCTTGGGCGGTGGAGTTTAGGGAGGGGCAGGTGGAAGCCTCTCAGCGAGTTGTGGCTGGGAGGGAGCCAGGAGCCAGGGGAGGGAGGGAAACGGCTAGAAAGACCATCTTTTTCTTCGTGAAGGGGAGACTTGAAGGTGTTTGCAAGGCCAGATGGTGAAGGGGGTAGAGATTAGGCCCAAAGAGCAGCCAGGACCCCCAAGGGAGACAGTTCATGGTCATGGGAGGAGCGGGTGGGCTGTGTGTGGGCTCAGGGGAGGGGTCAGCTCAGGAACGCAGAGAGCACTTCTCACTACTGAGACGGAGGAGGAAGGGACAGGTGAAGGTGTGAGGGACAGGTGAAGGTGTGAGGGACAGGTGAAGGTGTGAGGGACAGGTGTAGGTGTGAGGGACAGGTAAAGGTGCAGTGCGAGCCACAGTTGATGGTGAGGGATGCAGCATCCAGAAGAGCTGGAGGCACAGGTGGGAGGAGCCATGAGAGAGAGCAGGCAGTCTGGACACCTGTAAGTCCCTGGGAGCACCTGGGGGCGGGGAAAACAAGGGAGGAGGAGGGCCAGGTGTAGGATCGCCACCTTGTCCCAGGTTCCAGGCTGCTGTCCCCCCCAACCCCCCACCTCATTTTTTACATTTATTTTGGCTTACAGCAGAGTTGCACTAATAGCAAGAGCATCTCCAGGCCACGTTCGGACCCTGCCAGTTGGCCTTACTCACTCGAGTCGTTTTGTCCTCTGAAAGAAGGCTCCTAGGCTGTTTCCAAGCCCTGCACGTCCCTCTTCCGCTGGAAAGCCACACTCCTGGGCTTCCGGTGAGGTCCTTGAGGATCTGGCCTCAGGCCCCTCTTACATTGTGCCTTCCTCAACCTGCCTGCCCCACCCTCCAGCCCAGCTCCTTCCAACCCTGATGCACCCCACTTGTCTCCTTCTGACTCTGAGCCCCCGGAGGAAAACCCCAGGCCAAGGCCATGTGACCTTTTATTCTTCTGCGGTGCCTGGCAAACCACAGACGGAGGATGTCATCAGCAGAAAGCCAGACCTCGCCGATGCTGAGACAGGAAGAGTCTAGTCCAGCCGTGGGCAAACTACGGCCCGCAGGCCGGATCCGGCCTGTTTGAAATGAATAAAACTAAAAAAAAAAAAAAGACCGTACCCTTTTATGTAATGATGTTTACTTTGAATTTATATTAGTTCACACAAACACTCCGTCCATGCTTTTGTTCCGGCCCTCCGGTCCAGTTTAAGAACCCATTGTGGCCCTCGAGTCAAAAAGTTTGCCCACCCCTGGTCTAGTCCCACCCGGGTCAGGACAGCTCAGGGCTCTGGAGCCTGAGCTCCCCTGGATGGGAAGGAGGACTCAGACCCACTCTGCCAGCTTGCAGCACCCAGCTCGTCTCATGGGGAGGACAGGAGGGGTGGCGAGAAAGTCAAATGTAGGCTGGAGGGTCTGACCTGCCCCACACCGGGACTGGGTTTGTTCTCACTTTCCTAGGTCACCTGGGACAATTCTGTGGGGGGCTCTAGGCCAGCGGCCGCCAGCCTTTCAGACCTCATGGACCACGGACCACTGGTTGGCGACCGCTGCTCTAGGCTGTCCCATAAGGGTCCAGAAAAAATGTTTCTCTCATCTGCAGGACGATGTCAAAGTCCCTACCCTTTGTGTGGTGGAGACGTGTTTGGATGTGGGAGGCCTGGCCCGAGCCACTCCTGGTTCTGTAGATGGCAGGACAGGCTGGCTTCCTGCCATCCCTTGAGCCCAGTGCTGCAGCCAGCACCTGGGCTCAGAAGCCAGGAAGATGCAAGCCCGCCCCCCAGTGGCCACCCACCATAACTGCAGCCCAACAGCCCAGTCTCCACCCGCCAGGCCTCTGGCATGAGTAGCCTGGCAACACTGGCCAGGACCTGGGCACCAGCCCCTGGCTCCACAGTCCTCACGTGCCCAAGTGAAAGGAGGTGCCAGTTCTTCATGAGCAAAGAAGCATCGACTGTTCTACACACGCGCACAGGCCGACACCCTCTGCCTTTCATTCTTGATTTAGAAGAAGGATCCACGTCCAGTCAGGTCAAATACCTCATCCAAGGCCATCGGGCTCAGTGCCAGTTCTGGGCCGAGTCATGTCCACCTGAAGCCAGGCTTCCACCTCCAAAACATGGACGACCGGACTCTGCGTGCTGTTACCTGTGTTGTACGTCAGAGCGACCCAGGGCCTAGGGGTGGCTAGTTCCACGCCCTGGAACCAACCCTACTGGACCCAAACCCTGGGGGCGGGTGGGACGGTGTCTTCAGCTCACCGCACAGAGAGATGAGTGTCTCCATGCCGACCGCTGGGAACCAGAGCAGCACCGTCCCCTCCGGGAGGTCAGGGACATGGTCCATTCATTTTTAGCTCCTTAGCACTGACCCATGAAAAGTGGTCGATATTATTTGTGAAGTGAATAAATGAACGAGTGGGTGAATAAACGATTCTGAGGTCCCCTCCAGTTTGATAGTAAATGTGTGACTCCTGCACACAAGCACACAATGCTCTACACACATGAACAGACACACACACACATGCACAGACATGCATCCACACAGACACACAAACACACCTGCAGACAGGCATACACATGCAGACACACAGATACACATGCACAGACACACATAAATACAGATACACATGCAGACACACATACATACTCATAGACGTGCATATGCCCACAGGGCAGAGGGGATACAGCCTGAAAAAGAACAGGTGGCCCAGCTGCCCAACACCCCCCCCCACACACACACACACTCGTGCACACCTTTCTTCATTGGCCTGTATTTATTGCACACCCATTGGGTGCATGGCTCAGCCCCTGGCCCTGGTCAGAAACCTCTCGTGGCCCCCCAGGGCCAGCCCAGCTTGGGGGAGTTCCAGGCCACAGGGCTGGTTACAAGCATGGACGGGAGGGGGAGGCCCAGCAGGAAGGTGGAGAGGCCGTGCGTCAGCCAGCAGGCGGCAGGCAGGCAGCAGAGGCCCCTCTTGGCGGGCAGCCTGTGGGCACACTTGGCTGAACAGAGACAATGGTGGCTGCTCCCCCAGCCCAGCCTCCTTCCCACTGGCACAGCCTCAGATCTGTGGGTGTCCAGAGCCCTCCCCACCCCCTGCCCCACCCTGAGAACAGGCCCAGCTGAAAGTAGCCAGAAGGCAGCTCCAGGGGACATACAGGGAGGGCAGGGGCCCAGAGGGGCCTGGTGCCCCTGGGGAATGGAGCTTTAAGGGCTGGGGTGTGGGGAGGGGGTCCAGGCCTCCACCGTGACTCTCAACCCTTCCACAGCCGCAGCTCCTGCCAGGAGAGCCCCAGGGGCTGTGTCACCACCTCTTCCTCAGCCTCCCCAGGGATCTGAGCCTCTTTCCTGGTGCTGGGGACACAAAGGCCCCTTGTTCAGGGCTCCCCAGAGCCCTGGAGCCCCCACCGCTTTGGGGCCATTGGCTCTGCTCTGTTGATTAGCAATTGGGCATGGAGGTGGGGCGTTCTCATTGGCCCTGGTGCAGGGCCGACTGTAGGGATGAGGAGACAAAGGTGCAGTCCCCAGAGCCAGCCTCCGGGGAGCCCTGCCGCCTGCCTGCCTGCCTGCGAGGCCCTGCCCCTGACAGCGGCCCCACCCTGAGCAGGGCCTGGGCGACAGGAAGCTTGCTGGGGGTGGGGGGGTAGGGGTGTCTCCCCGGGCCTCTCCTAGCAGGTCACCTGATTCCCAGAGCAAGACCATCCCCGGGGCCTGACTGCCCAGAGGCGTCGGCTGCCCCAGGCTCTCTCCTGGAAGCGCAGGGACCATCTGCTCTGCTTCCCCAACAAGCGCTGAGCTGCCCCAGACCCAGGAAAAGGGGCCGTTCTGGATTTTGGAGGAGTGAAGAGTGACATGGGACAAACTCTGGGAGTGGAGCCAAATCTTTGGTCTCTCTCCTCCCTCGGGAGTGGCCAGGGACCAGGCAACTGAGGACCTGCCACGGGGGCAGGGCAGGGCAGAGCAGTACTCTGGCAAGCTCAGAGAGGCCTGTCCCTCAGCAGAGCAGGGGCCTCCCCTCCATCCCACAGGGTTGCATCCCAGGTCCGCCCCAGAGCAGGGGCCAAGGTCTGTGAGTGACGCTTCACAGCTGATGGCGGTTCCGCTTGGGGATAATCTTCCGGTAGGTTCTTCGCTCTGAGATGTTGCGCTTCACCTTGGCGGTGGTGGGGGCCTCGTCCTGGTGCAGGGAGGGGCTGGAGTGGGACTTCTTCAGGCTGGGCTTGGACTCCTGGGGGCCTGCGGCTTCCCTCCCCAGCTGCTCCTCCCACAGGTCCAGGTCATCCGAGGGGCAGTGCAGACGGGTCATCAGCAGCTGCACGTACATCTCATAGCGGGTTTTCTGCAACACACAGGCACCCCCACCTTAAGCACTGCCTGGCTCCAGGTGGGGAGGAGGCTGGAATCGCGGGGGACGGGCAGATAACATGTGTATGAAGCTGTGGCAATAAAAACTGCTGCAGAGAGAGGGCTGGCCCGACAGCTAGCGCCTGTGTTGTACCTGTAACCAGGCTTTGCAGAACACAGCAGTAGCGTGTTAGAGCCCTGCCACTATCTGGACAGTCTTACAGTAACACGGATCAGCCAGCCCTGTTCTAACGGCCAACACCGTGCGCTGTAACCAACATCTCCCAGACACCAAAAGGCCAGGACCCAGCAGGCCTGAGACCCTGCAGCGCTGCACACGATGGCTCACGCCTGCGCTGAGACCTGGCTGAGTCTGAGCAGCATGTTAACAACTGGCATCTGGAGAGCATGATGCTAACAGCCCTCGTCTGCTCACACTCCTAAGGACTCTGTAACCAGCACCTCCAGATCCGGTTTCCAGCTTGGTTGGTGCTTTCCCACCCTCCATCCCATGAGGCTGTCATCCCAGCCCTGGGGGCGGGGGAGCAGGCACCCCATGAGGTCGTCTCCTTGTCCCAGCCTGGGAGACTGGGTGGGGCACCATCACGACCCTGCTCGTAAAGGAGGACAGGAGGGCTCCAGAGGGCTGGCGGCTGCTAAAGACCCCTCTGGTCTGTGGTGGGAGGGGCTGGAGCTCTGCAGGCAGACCTGGGACCTGTGGCCCACACCCGGGGCCTCTGGGAAATGGGGCGCTCACAGCCACAAGTGCAACAAAAAGCCAGAGGGCATGACCAGGAGGTGAGGGTGGGACAGCCAGCCAGTGACGCTGACCATTGCGTCTCTGGTCTCTGCCTTTGGATCACCTCTGACCCCTCTGTTGTCACACTGCCCCTCACCTGCACTGGCTGCGTAGGTTCTAGAACAGCCCTGGGAAAACTACGGCCCGCGGGCCGGATCCAGCCCGTTTGAAATGAATAAAACTAAAAAAAAAAAAAAGACCGTACCCTTTTATGTAATGATGTTTACTTTGAATTTATATTAGTTCACACAAACACTCCACCCATGCTTTTGTTCCGGCCCTCCGGTCCAGTTTAAGAACCCATTGTGGCCCTCGAGTCAAAAGTTTGCCCACCCCTGGTCTAGAATGTGCACCGACGTCAGGCCAGAGCAGAGTTTGGGGTGGGGGATTGGGGGTTAAGACATTTCGGGTCGATCATAGAGCTAATAAAGGTCATTCCCTCGTTAAGACTGGAGTAGCAACTACACTGGTCAGGTTTGGGTGACTTATTTGCTCTCTCGATGCCTCAGTTTCCTCATCTGTAAAAGGAGGGTCATAGTCCCTACCCTCGAGTTGTTAGATAATTTAACAAGATAATCCGAGCAAGTAATACAAGCGCCACAAATACAGCCTATTATTATTAGGTAGGTATTAGGGGAAATAATATAAAATACTTTTTCCTGCCAAATATACTCTCAGGAGAAAACAGTTATAAAAATAATGTCCCTTAATAGCGTTTCAGATAAGCGGCTGGTCCGTGATCCCAGAACAGGACACGCCCTGCGCAAGCACGTGAGTGCAGACAGCACCTCGCCAGCCCTGAGCCACAGGGGAGCGAAGGCTGCAAGGCCAGACGCGGCCACCAGGGGGCGGACGGGGACCGGCGGCTCACCTCGTGCTCCAGGTACTCCTTCCGCAGGCGGTATTCCTCCAGCTCCCGGCTGCGGCCCCGCCGCTCGGGTAAGTTCCTCTGCAGATCCAGCAGGTCGTCGGAGGCAGCGTCCAGGCAGTTCTCGTGGGACCGATGCTGCTCCTCCTAGTTGCGGGAGGCGGTGGGAGAAGCAATCCCGATCTCCCCCTCCTTCTGGGCCCAGGAGCGCAGCGCGCCCCCCTCCCCTCCCCAACCCCTCAGGTCCCAGAGCCAGGTGTGCAGCTTCAGCAGCAGCCCTCCTCCTTCCGGGGCCAGGTGCGCAGCCCCGCGCCCCCATCTCCGCTCTAGTCTTCCAGTGCGCGCACCACCCCCAACCCCCTGCCGCACCCGCCTCTCCCCGAGGCCGTACCAGGGAGCTCTGGGCAGGGCCCACGGGCAGGATGGGCCGCACGAATCTCCGCTGGGAGCCCACCGCGGCCGGGAAGGGCGGCGCTGAGTGCGTGGCGGCGGCCAGGTTGATGCGCGCGATCCAGGAACTCATCTCCTTGGCAGTGCTGAGGGCAGAGAGGCGGCGGGTCCCCAGGGGTCCCCCGGGCCTCCGAGTCTGTCCTGTTGCTTACCCCCGCCCCCAGCTCCGGTGTTCTCCCGGAAGGGCAGTCCAGCATCTCAGGACTGGAGCCCCAAGAAGCCAGAAGCCCTGTGGCTAGCAGAGTGGCGGACCTCCGCGGGTGCATTTCCCCGTCACCAAAGAGGAAAATCCGGAAGGCAACAGATTTTACATCAAATGCCCAAAAAATGGTGATGTCATCGTTACCCTGGAGTCCTCTGTTCAAAACTGGGAGGCTGACCTGGGCTGACAGGGCAGAGCCCCTCCCTGGCCAAGTGGGCCGTGGGCGGGCGTGGCTGCAGGAGCCGCCTTGGTGTGCGGTCAGAGCCCCTCAGCAGGGCCCCTGAGGTCTGCTGTCCAGGTGGCAGCCCCATCAGGGAGGGCTGCAGCCCTCAGAGGAGCAGGGCTCAGGGGACAGGAAGGGGGCCCTTCTGCTTGTCTCCCACCCAGACTCACGGTGCCTGGAAGAGGTAGAGGCGCCAGTCGGCAGTCCGCAGCTGGAAGACGTGTGGCTTCTTGGTGTAATGGGTGGCCGGCGTGGCCAACGAGTGGTGCACCCCCACGGGCTCGTCCACCATCTGACCCACCAAACTCTCCCCCTCGGGGCTGTGGTCTTCTCCCTGCCACAGGGCACAGCGGCTCAGGAAAGAGATTTTCAGTAGCGGCCTCCCACCGTTCTGGGCCTTCCCCTGCCCCCCGTGCATCCGGATGTGGACACCCTGCCTACCTTCAGGAAGTAGAGGACCATCCCTCGGAGCAAGGTGTGGAGCATCTTCCAGCCACGCTTGCCCCATGGCGCTGCCCAGGAACAGAAGGCACAGGTGAGTGGGGGCACCCCACCCAGATACCCACAGGCACGCCCAGGCCCCTGCTTTTCACCCCTCACACCAGCTCCACCCCCCAGCCCCCAGGTGCACAGAATCATTCAGACGCACAAAACACAGTCACAAACAGGCATGTGCCACGCCCTACACACAGGCAGTCACGCGTGGAAACCCAAACAGATGAGAACATTGACAGACAACAAATTCGACAGGCCATCCCCTCTCCAGTCACACCCATCACGAGCACAGCCCCAGCTCGGACATCCTTCAGGGCCCTGCGGATGACCTCGACTTCCTGGGCCCTTCCCGAGAGGCACGGGGCTGGAGCCCGTGGGCAGGAGGGGGCCTGCTCCCTGTGGTCACCACCGTGCACGGGCCTGTGGGATGCTGGTGCCCTGGCTGGTGCCCTGGTCATGCTGTTGCCCTGCTCTACAGCTCCAGCCATCTGGGCATGAGGCCCAACTGCAGACCCGGGCAACGCTGCCCCCAGTGCGTTTCCCAGCGTCCTTCCACACGCCCCATGTTTGGAACAAACTATGTCTGCTCCTTCTTCATGGGGGACACCCTCTGCCCAGCTTCAGATACCCAGACCTTCTGAGGTTCGGCCCAGATTCATCATTTCCCAGGAGCCTGAACCCGTTGTCTCCCACATCCACCCCAAAACAGAACCCCAAGCCTCGCCCCCTCCACAGCCCATCCTTGATCTGGTGCTTCCTACAGTCACACACCGACGTGCTTGTCTGGCTTCTGCCTCAGCACAGGCTCAGGGGCAGGAATAGCGGGTCCCTCCTGGGTCTGTCCCCCACCCTCCTGGCCGTGCCTCGCACAGTCACCGTCGAGGCAGTTACCCTGTGCACACGACAGCACGTGTCCCTGAGCAGAGCCCCCGTACCCCCACAGACAGAGGCCCCGCACAGCAGCCGACACCCACTCTTCTTGCCGTCCACGTCGTGATGCATCTTCCGAGCCAGGATGCCCTGCTTGTAGGTGGGCCCCGTGGGGTCCAGGGCCGGCTGGAGGAAGGGGCTGCTCATCTTGCCGCCGAGTGGTGAGGACCGGGCCTTCTCAGGTCTGGCTGCATCTTCTTCGTCCCTAAACAGAGAGAAGCAGGCTGAGGTGCTGACAGGGCCCCCCACCCTCTCTCACTGGGGAGCCACATCTCAGGACACCCCAGAAGAAATCTTTCAAAGCCAACCCATCTGTTCCCGTCTTCCCCAAGCCTCTGGCTCCTCCAGGTGTTACCCACCCTCAGGTGGGCTGGGGGAGGGGAAGGATGGGGGAGGGAAGGGAGGAGTGTGGGGAGGGAAGGTCACTTACACGGCCCACTCCAGCTTCTCACTCCGGATAGACCAGTACAGGGCCTGGAACAGAGGCACGCGGGTGGTCAGGGAGCCTCAGGCTGCGAGGCCCAAACTCCGTCTGGCAGAAGTAGGGTGGGGGTGCTGCCGCCTGCCTCTTCCACCCAACACAGCTGCCCCCCTTCCGCGAATGGGAAGGAGCTCATCTGCGCACGCACACACGCATGCTGCCGTTCATGGAGCATTTGCCATGTGCCGGACATTGTGCTGTCCTAGTCTCCGCCTGAGCTCAGCGAGGCCTGAACTTCTCTCCAAGGGAAAGGACTCATCCACATACCATCCTGCACGGAGGGGGCTGCCAGAGCAGGGCCGGCTCACTGATGGGGCCAATGACTACAGTGAATGAATGAGTGAGGTGCCGAGCTTTCACATGATGTAACAGACTATTCACATAGATGCATCCTGCCAGCTTTGTGTAGTCCTGGGCACACCTGCAGGTGCCTGGCACCTAATAAGTGCTCAATAAATGCGATTGCTAACGAAGAGCACACTGTGCCAGGCACTGTGTGAGCTCCTGACTCACTTGATGTCATCCTGACAACAGCACTTAAGTGGTTCGACCCCAGGAGGAACCCAAGTTGGCCAGGGGTTATACTGTCCCAGACAAGAATTCCAACGCCGGATCACTGGCTCTAGACTTTCTCTTTTTGAAGTTTTGCCTCTTTTCACTTAGAGAAGAAAAAAACAGTGCTTCTCCGATTTCACAGGCCTCAGAATCGAGCTTTGTGACCATTTCGGGGGCTCCAGCCCCAGAAGTCTGGTCCAGGAGGCCCGGGGCGGGGCTGGGCGTTTGCACGAGCTGACAAATCCCCCGGTGACACTGCAGTCAGTCAAGGGGCCCTGTCCTTGGCAGATATTTGGGTGAAGCCAGGCCCGAGCGCAGCATCCCCTGGGGACCAGGAGCCCGGCTCAGGCCCTGGGCGGGAGGGAGCCTTCGTGGGCAGCCCCTGCAGCGCACCTTCAGCAGCTCCTTGGGGAAGTTCCCGCCGTCCTGCAGGCCGTTCAGGTTGCTTATGAATTCCTGGCAGCTCATGCTCTTCCCAATGTTCTGCGGCACGGAGAGAAGCGGGACAGCTGGCACCCCCACCAAGAGGAACCGCCCGGCCAGCCGCCCTGGAACCTTCTCCAGTTCCCCACGGTCCTTCCTGGCCCCGCCTAGGCCTGGGGTCCCACCGACGCTCTCCCCACCCGCTCACCTGGCCGTGCAGGTCCGTGTTCAGGAGCATGATGGCGCAGGTCAAGGTGTGCACAGAGTCTGTCCCAGGGAGGTGAGTGGAGAGAAAGTGCTGGGACCGGACTCGGCTCTCCCGCTGCCCACACTGGGCAGGGCACCCCCAAGTGCTTCTGGTTCTCCACAGCCCCCAAGCACACCCAGCAGCTGCCACCAGGGAACTCCCGAGCAGGCTCCCTCCGCCCGCGGCACCCGGAGCCCTGCCCTCCTACCTACTGAGGAGAAGAGCCCGGGGTTGCAGTGGTGGAAGCGCCTGGAGAACTGGAACAGGACTCGCTCCCGCTCCTGGGTCTCCCCGCTGAGCACCAGCGCCTGGAGGAAGCTCCTGGGAGGAGGCCCGGATCAGGACAGGCCCGGGCTGGACAGCAGGCCCCGAGCTCGGGCAGGGTCTGCCCGGCCACCCCTCCTCCCCAGGGAGGGCCCAGGCGTTACCGAAGGGCCCGGTCCAGGCTCTGGCCACCGAACTGGAAGAAGGACAGGTACTCCTGAGCCACAGCCCTGCTGAAGTCATTGCTGTGGAGGGAAGTGGGGATCATGTCTGGGTGGAGGAGGGGGTGGGAGGCACAGGGGCAGGGGGAACCCCAGGTCTGCACACATCCCAGGGCCTGGGAATTGGGACTGGGGGCCCCAAGCAAGGCAAAGGCCCAGCCAGCTGGACCCTGGGACCCCAGAGGGTAAGGGACAGCCAGGGTCTGATCTGTAGCGGCGCCCCGCTCATGCTGGGTGGCAGGGCCACATGTGATCAGGGCTGGGAGGCAAAGTGGCCAATCCAGTGGCTCTAAGCTGGGTCAAGTGTGTGGAGAAGGGGTGACACCAGTGTGACAGGAAGAGGAAGGCTTGGACAGGGGAGGGGTACAACCAGGACAGGACGATGGGGTGAGAGGGCAGCAATGGGCTGGGGAGGGGTGGATGGTGGAGCAAGCCTGCCCGCCTCACCCACGGGAAGGGCCCCTCGCTCAGGCTGAGCCCCTTACTTCTTCCGCAGGTGCACAGCCACCTCAGACTTCCGGAAACCCTCCAGGTGATAGAGGCGGGAGGCCAGGTCCCAGGCCCGCTTGTCCGTCCTGACGCCGTTGGCCAGCTTGTCTGCAGCCTGCGGCCCCTGGCCCTCCTCTGGAGACTTGCCTTGGGGCACGGGGCTCTCAGGAAGCCTGCAAAAGGCCATCCGTGTCCTCACTCTCACGTGGATGGGCACACATGGGTTCTGGGTCAGGTCGCGGAGGAGCCCTCAGAACGCCTGCCCCTCCCACACCCTCCAGCTCCAGCTTCCACGACCAAGGAAGGTGCTTGGATGAGGCAAGAAGAGGAAGCCAGACTGGCTTCGGGGTGGCGAAGGCGGGGCGTCGGCCTGCCTGCCAGACTGGCTTCGGGGTGGCGAAGGCGGGGCGTCGGCCTGCCTGTCTCTCCCTGGTGCCGTGGAAGGCCAGCCGGCCACCCCACCGACTCAGTCTGACACGCAGACCCTCAGAGGTCACCAGTCCCACCTCCACCCGACTCTTCGGTTTCCCTGGCAACAGCACCACCCCGCCCTGGTATCATCATTATCTGAATGCTTGCTATCCCAGCTGCCACAGGGAGGGATTGTGCACGGAAGCAGAACTCATCCTAACATGAGAACCTCACTGATAAGGGCCCTCTCTCCAAGGAACGGGCTCCATGTCGGCTGGTAACTTCTTACAAGGTCCTGACGCTCAGACACACCCAACAGGGCAGGGCAAACAGAATACAAACCAACTGAAAAGTAAAGTTACGAATCTGGCAAAACCTCGCAGGCTTTGATGAAGTCGGGGAAAGTGATGCGGGAAGATGCCAGGAACCACACGGAGAGCCACTGACCGAGAAGCCGGGAGAGTTAGTCCAGCGAACAGTGAAGAGCAGGAAGTGAAACAGACACACTTGTCCCATCTACAGACAATTAACTCTATGGATGATCAGCAGACGAAGCCCTAAAATACTTTGCCAAAATGACCCTGTCAATTGGTGCTCTTCCTAAAATGATATCTGGACGGAGAGACACTTGGGAGGAAAAACCCCCTCTGCAAATATAAATTGTCACGAATTGTACACGTTCACGAGTGATTTGTATCTTAACTGAGCTGTCACTAAAATGAAATAAGCCTCTGTGATCTTACTGTGAAAGTCAAGTGTGAATGAAAGATAGCTATTGGGCCAGAAAGCTTGTGCCAGGAAAATTAAACCTCTTATATTGTGTTAAATATAAGACTCAATATGCTTATTTATGGAATCTTTAGTATCGCTTACCAAGAAAGACCCCAATTAACCCTTTCATTATATACTCCAGAAGTATGGTTTTTATTTGAGATGGGTCTCCTTGTTTTACGTTGGGCTGAAGTAACTGGTTTTGGGAGGGGGTCTCTCTCTGTCTAGATTTTGAGCCCCGGTGATGGCCCAGCCTCTACATCTCCGAGGCCAGTGGAGTGGCCACGTGCCCGAGGAGGAGGGCTCTGTGACCTCATAGGATGGGCTCTGTAACCTCATAGGATGAGCTCTGTGACCCGATAGGATGGGATCTGTGATCCCATAGGATGGGCTCTGTGATCTGATAGGATGGGCTCTGTGATCTGATAGGATGGGCTCTGTGATCTGAAAGGATGTGCTCTGTGATGTGATAGGAAGGGATCTGTGATCCAATAGGATGAGCTCTGTGATCTGATAGGATGGGCTCTGTGATCCTAATAGGATGAGCTCTGTGATGTGATAGGATGGGCTCTGTGATGTGATAGGAGGGGCTCTGTGATATGATAGGATGAGCTGTGATGTGATAGGAGGGGTTCTGTGATATGATAGGAGGGGCTCTGTGATCTGATAGTATGGGCTCTCTGATCTCATAGGATGGTCTCTGTTATCCAATAGGATGGGCTCTGTGATGTGATAGGAAGGGCTCTGTGATCCTATAGGATGAGCTCTGTGGTGTCATAAGATGGGCTCTCTAATCTGATAGGATGGGCTCCATGATCCTGATAAGATGCGCTCTGTGATCTGATATGATAGGTGCTATGATCCTGATAGGATAAGCTCTGTGATGTGATAGGAGGGGTTCTGTAACCTGATAGGAAGGGCTCTGTGATCTGATAGGAAGGGCTCTGTCATCCCAAAGGATGGGCTCTGTGATCTGATACCATGGGCTCTATGATCCAATAGGATAAGCGTCTGTGAACCAGATAGTATGAGATCTGTGAT